CAAGGGAAAACAACTGTAGTCAAAAAGTGCACGAAGTGACAAATTGGATCGCAACACGCGATAGTAATAAAGTAATTATGTTGTGTGCCCGAATAGGGAGGGGCTGGAGTACAAAATCTAGATACTACGAAGCCCACGATCGAATTAAAGTGATTTGAGAATAGAATAAAATACTGTGACAGCTTAGAAACTTGGTGAAAGCTTGAGATTAAGAGAATAGAAGAAATGCGATACCCAACTGTTTATAACTACATGTAAAAAATGAGAGTAATAATGTCACAAAAAAGGTTGTCTAGTTTATCACCTTTTATTTTCTTCCTTACAACAATTATCTAGACTGATTTCAGGTAACTTCTGAATTTTAGTAACATACACGAAAACAGACAAGACAGTTAAAATCCCTAGATTATTCATGCTCGTGTGAATATTTGTCAATATTTTAAAGGATAATTCCACAGACATTAGATGCCCAATAGATAGAAGACGTTATATGCAAAAATTGTATCGAGGCAATACGCACAGTGTGCACATATGCCAATAAGAGACTGAACAGTTGCAGTCCTAAAACATCAATGGGATGATTCAAACAAACAATACTAAGTGAATTTAAACTTCACCCCATTGCACATGCAAGTGGCTATTAGGACTCAGTGGCCGAGTGGATAACGTGATGGCGTTTGAAGCGAAAGGTAGTGGGTTCGAGTCCCAGAATAAACATCAACTCTGAGATGCAAGTACATCCAGCTGACGAGTCCCGAGTAGGACGAAACGCCCATCCTGGATTCCACTACTAGACACTATCCATCTTTGCTTACCATGTTTGTGAATTTAGGCTATATCGAGGCAATACACACAGTATGCACATATGCATATTAGAGACTGACCAGTTGCAGTCCTAAAACATCAATGGGAAGATTCAAACAAACAATACTAAGTGAATGTACTTGAAATAGTTTCAGCAATTGTAATTTAAGTAATTCTAACGCTTCGCATTATAAACTTGCTTGAACTTTCTTTATTCTTTTGTATGTTTAATTTGGATTATTGCCCAGACAAACTTGACGGGGTCAACACTAGAATTATTTTGAATGTCAATCCTTAAGATTATTTCAATCATAATTCTTATTGCTGTTCAATTTTATAATGACTAATATTCTTGATTAATTTTTAGAATTTGAGCATACACATTATCCTGATGTATTTTCTCGTGAAAAGTTATCCAGTCGAATTCTACTGCCTGAAACTCGTATACAAGTTTGGTTTTCTAATAGACGTGCAAAATGGAGACGTGAAGAAAAAATGCGAATGAAACAATTAGCTTCTAGAAATCAACAGAAACCAATTCATCATCAGTATCATAGTAACAATAATAATAATAACAAGATCAACCCATTAATGTCAAGTTTAACAATGACACCGACAATAAAATCTGTTGTAAACACTACATATGTCAATCATACTGATGACAGTCTAAAAAATAAAATCAATAATACTTCTAGAACAATGGAAATAAATAATACAAATCGTTCAATTTATTCTGGAATTCCACATAAAAGTAATGACAATAATAGTAATATACATATGACCAATTGTATTGATAATGTATCTAATAAAAACATTGATTGTGGATCAACTGATCTACTTAGATTACAGGATGAATATAAAATTCAATCATCAAAAGTCCCTGTAAAAGGCAGTAAATTAAATGATTTCTTATCGTTATCATCTACCAGATACTCAACTACTGATTTATTAGTTAAAAAGAATAATGATGATAGATATAATCTTCATCATAATCCTTTCTATCATCATATAGAAGAGAAACAATGGACTTATCTACCTCCACATCTACAAATTCAATCACAAAATAATTTGGATCAGTCAACAATTGAACAACAAACATGTTTGAATAATATACAAAATATAACCAAGAACTTTGTTTAAATTTTAAAATCTCGTCATTATTGAGAATAACAATAACAGAACTAACAAAAAAAACATCCTAAGCATTTAATTTTGATCAATTACATTTTAAATATTCATTTCAATTTTGATGTACAGTGACTTTAAAATATTTGCAAATATATCTTTAATTTATTAAATTGCATACAATCATTTTGTTTGTATAGTTGAAATCATGAGTCAATTGAAGCTAGATCACCATGGAAAACCTGGAAGCACTCGACAGCCGTTTCGTCTTACTGTGAGACTCCTCAGCAGTGCGCATCCACGATCCCGCCTCACGAGATTCAAACCCAGGACCTACCAGTCTCGCGCAAAAGCACTCAAACGATAGACCACTGAGCTGGCATATAATGATGTTAATGTCTCACTTCAACCAATCCACGAAGTTAAGCAACCGTTCACCAATTATCTTCAGTGAGTTGATATCTCACAACAGACCTAGTTGAACTCCACTGGTCACTACTTCTCACTAGAACTATAGGAAATATATCTTGAAGTCAGTCACTAGTGAGCATATGATTATTATCAGAAGGGGTTTTGTGGAGATTTCAATATTTGCATAGTTGAAAACATGAGTCAATTTTTTGTGTGATAGAAACATATTTCAAGAATAGTAAGTAATGTTAGGTTATTGATTAAGTGAAGAGATTCTGATTGGGATATTCTGCATTAGCTCTTCTAGTTTTCTGTAATTTATTAGCGCTAGTTACATAAATTATAGTAAATCTCCAACTAGATATATTTGGTAAAAATAAAGGCGAAAATGGAATTCAATAGCTCTTAGTTTTATAATAAACATTTTCCAAATCCCTATATCTTTCTTTAATTGCATTCACTGCTAATGACCGGTTTCGAAATTTTACTGGGTAAAATAATGAAAATTTTCGACAAATTACATGTAACAGTACTGTGTCAACCTGACTATCCTTTATAATCGAAGTTCATTCTATATATAATTTTGGGGACCTGCCAGTCTAGGAATACAACATGCGGACTGAGGCAACTGTAGGCAGAGTGTATTCGATTTTGGTTGGCTAGAGCTATTAAGAGGTTCATACCATGTGTTGTTTCTATTTAATAATGGCTTGTATGACTGATATGCCAGTTCCATCTTCTAAGAGACTACAAATTACACGTTTTCCCATCCACTCATTTATATATTAAAACCGTTAAACTATAGTATACCACTAATTGTAAATTGTTTAACTGAACTAATTAGATATGACAAAATTAAAGTCATTTGCTAAATCTTAAGGGATTCTATATATGAATGAACGAAAATGATGTAAAGTAACTGGTCAGCTTATTAAAATACATAAATCAATCAGATGAAACTTATTAATCCAAGTTTTAGACTTTTACTTCGGATCATATCCTATTAATTATGTGTTCATAATTGGTGAGCAAAGTAATTATTATAATATTCAAATGATATATAGATTGATCGGAGCAGTATCTTTCTTGAAATGCTCTGACATTCCTAGGGTTTCCTCGACCCATAAATTAGATATTTTCTGATTGTTATTGGCAGTCACTAATAGAATAAGTTAGATATCATGTCAACTGGCAACTAATCCACTCTGTAACAACAATGTTTATTACCTGAGATATACGACTAACAGAAAATTAGATGGTAACCGAGATTAGATTTCCTATTCGAAAATAAATGAGAAATCATTTGAAAAAAATAAATTCCCTTTTTAGTTACCGAGTACGTAAACACGAGAATCTCCGAGTAACGCAGCTTTAACCACGAATAGCAAACTGGTCCTACAGTTTCACCAAGAAGCACAAATCATTAAATAAAACGCCAGATCTGTTGAACTTTATTTAATTGGGACGAATTCTCATTGAAATAATGAACATACCTAGATTGGACAAATATTGAAAACCGGCAAAACACTAGACGACCGTTTTGTCCGAGTATGGGACTTTGACAGCATTCCTATTTTCATGTCTATCAGTTTTCGTCCCGCTAAAAGTAATTATTGAACTCACAAATGCATCTGCTTAAATCAAATCATCATTACTCTTTATGAACTGCAAAACGTCAAGAACTTTTTAACGTGAAAAGGAAAATTTCTTTCTCTATTATGTAAACTGATTATTTACACACTTATCATGTAACCCTTAAGGAATATCCTTTCGCGAAGTTCCGACTTAATTTCAATTTTGAAATATTTCTTTATGTTGTGATGTTTTCTACTATCAATATAAGTCCGATCACATCTATCGTTTTACTAATAATTTATACTCTTAACTTTAATGTCTACTTAGATGATCTCCGGCATTGTTATCACTGACTTATAAATTGTCTTGGTTAGCTTAGTGTTTTATAAATGCATATCAATATCACTACATTTTGGAGTAAAGTCTGAAGATCTATTTGATCGAGAACAACACGGTTTTAATCCTTACGTCAACAGTAAATAGAAATTAAATATGGAGCTGCGATAAATAATTCGTTCAGAAATCTGTTCATCAAATTCTATACTTTTATCATTTATCTAAACTGATTATGAAACTTAAGGAGGAAGAATGTATTTGTAAAATTTCAGCGAATGAATATGAAGTAAATTCAACGTTGGGATTTTACAAATAGATTCTTCCTCCTTAATGTCTTATATCAAATCGGCGCCTAAATACCATGAAACTATTCTGTCAAATTTGGACGAAAGTTCTTATATGCTGATTATGAAGCTGTTCAGAAAGATAAAAGAAAACAAGCTACTGTATCTTTTTACTGTTTCAACAGTCCAAGAGTAAACTAAAATTTTAAAAAATTATATTTATCAAAAAATAACTGACTATTTGTTAATTACAATTCGCAATAATTTCACTTCTGTTTAATAACATTAGAGGAAAATTTATGTGAAAAGTCAAATAACTACTGAAATTAAACTCAAAAGAAAATAATAACAAAAATAAAGGGAAAATTGGTGATATTTCTGTTGGAACACTGGATACTTTAGTAAATGCAAAGAGAAATAGGGTAACAACAATAACAAATCATAAAATGAAATAGCAAAAATGGATTATTTTGAAGTTCTTTTCAATGATAATCGGTGCTTAGATATGATTGGTGTGGAATGTTGCGTTGGTGATGTGGTGGTGATGTGTTGAGATGAACGTGACTGACGACGTTGACGTGTTTTCACTAAATCTGCAATACTCATATCGGAGTTATCAAATGAATCATTTGTAAGCTGTGAATTAGTGAATATTTCTGAATTGTAAGAAGGAGTTTTTAATCGAAATGCATCAGACGATGATATCTTTGGTTGTAAAAAGAAGAAACAATATATAAATGGTCGGTCATAGTACATATTTTATGGGATTAGATTTTATAGCAAAATGAATAAACATTATATTACGATAAGCTTGCAGCAAAGTTTGAGGAAAAGTAATGCAAATTATATTATTCAGTCAGCATCAAGCTAAAATTTAGTGATTCAGTCAGTCACAATTCGTGTAGAATCAGGCAAACATGTGCATTGGATAAAGTTGATACATCAAATTAATGCAGTGAGTTGACATTGAGATAATTAACAAAAATCGAGGTAATAATAATATCGGTGTTTAAACAGAGTACAGTTCGAATAGAAGGTTAAGAATTAGTAATATGATTTCGAGTTTAAACTTAGATTTCAAGAGGAAAGACAAAAACGGTGAATAGGTCAGTGGGACTGAGCCATATCGCTTACGTGCATCAATTACAGATCATAACAATTGTGTAGATATCAGTTAAGTAGCCTGTACCTCCCTAAACAATTCAGACTGACGGTGAATGGCTTCATGGATTAATTTCATGCGTTAGTTTCACTCACCGTAGCTTTCATCTACCACATTTCGACGGTCAGTCACACGCAACATAGAACCTGGCATATATATTCATTGGTTTAGGTTGCCACACCACGTTTGCACAGTGAGATGTAATTATCAAAACAAATACCAAAGTAATAAAACCAGTGACAGTATTAGTAGCGAAAAAAGGATTAGACATAGATGATAGAATTCATGAAACAAAAATAATTTAGTGGAGCGAAAAAAGTATAGGGAAATTTCGAAACTCAAGACCTGAGGAAAGATGAAGTGAGGAAGTATCTAAGTATCTAAAATGGATTCTGAACCATGTCACTCGGAGTGTCAAACCACCGGTTACAGTAATCGCGCGGACCACAACTAGGTGGTCTGCACCTACCCTATTTCATCTGTCATTCTTAGCTTCTTAACAATCTACACCTACACCAGCCAATGTTCCCCGTCGAGGTAGGGGGTAGTTGAACATTCCTAATACATTATTCAACCAAGTCGAGGTAAGAGTTGATTGAGTATGGGTAACAAGCGTCCCATTCAAATCAGCAGAAAAACTCGCAAAATCATCAACCGACTTGCTGTGTTTATGTAGTATCTTAAGGTTGTGGTTCATTCAGTTGTTTTAGAGATAAAAGCACTATTTCGGAGACAGCTATAATCAAACAGTCGTAACCTACTGGTCTCAGAATTTCAAAGTAATAGGTAGGCCAACGAGCACCCCAGGTTTTTGGACATTAACTGCCTTTCTAAGTAAGGCTTTTTTAGTACGTGCCGCCTTTTGTATTCTGCCGGGGGATTTGAAGAGTTCCAGAAATTAGGACATCGTTAGGATTTCGCTGACTAATCATTCATGTGCAAACTTCGTCACAGATATTCAATGGTGATTGACATAAGAGTAGGTTAGAAAGAAGTAAGAGGTTGACAAGTCAAGATATGTCATCAATTCATGAATTCATTAACTATTAACCTGTGGTACATTGGTAGATATAAACCTTCTTTTAGGCTCCATAAAATACTCGTAACCAGTGTATGGAGATGTTATTGCATTTACTCTATCTTCTTCTAAATACTTACATAACTGTCCATTCCAACTTCTTACTCTTCAACCACATTTTCTCCTTTCAAGCAGCAACCTTCATGTTCAGATTTCCATCGCTCTTGAAATTATTTCTCACCCTATTAGCTACTGTGAAGTCCCCAGTACATTTTTAAGGTATTTAGCATGACCACAGATTGTTAGACTTGTTTAACAAAAGCGTATGAGTAAACAATACAGTCAATAGACATAAAAATTTAGTCAGAATAATTCTGAAACAAAAACTTATTGCAAACTTTTTTACTGTTCGAATTAGTCAAACAACTCACAATTTCCTTTTCTTCCACTGAACTATTCAAAATATCCTTAGGTGATTGAATACATTCTAAAATCTCTTTGTTATTGCAAAGTTCTAATGAGTTATCACATTGATTACTACGTTGGGAACTGCGAGGACGTTTAGCTTTAGGCTCAGGAGTAAAACATGGTTCCTCAGTAATAAGTAGCGAGTGAATAATATCAGGAGTTGGTGACTTCGCAATATCAACGATCTCAGATTGTTTTATTTCGTGAGAAATAGATTTATCTGAAACAGTTATAGACGAATTTTTTAATCCAGGGATACTAGAACGAACACGAGTTTTTCGTGAAAGACCTGTACGCGAAGCACTTCGATTAGGAAGGGTTCGAGTGTAAGAACACTAAAAAATTCAAGAGAAAAATACTCCAACGATTATTAGTGAATAACAGTGACAATAAATAATCTAAGCTAATTGATCAACGACAAAATGTAACAAAATTTAATCAAATGAAAACCAAAACTACGAGTAATAAACACTTCCTTATCTGATGAATCTGTTGTATATACGAAAACTAATTATTAGGTGCGCTTTTATATTGATAACTATTACGAAATTTCCCAATAGTGTATTTCGTAATATTTTGAACACACTCACTGAATATATGTAAATCCCAGTGTTGCTGTTCTAATTAACAATTGAATCTAGTACCCCTTGACAAAAAAAACCCAACAAGTATTATCCCCATTAGCTAGTCCACTGAACTGTACTTATCACCTATCTGAAGCAGAAGTACAAGCCTTCATAATAACTATGATAGAAAACAGATAGTTAGAGAGTAATGAACAGTGTTCTGGATTCAATTATTAATTAACATCGAACATACATTCAGTTTCGTCCAATAAACCTACCTACACTGATGAACACAGAGTAGTTCAGTATATATATATATATATATATATATATATATATATATTCAACAAAACTACCACTGAAATTACATCGAAAACAATGTGAATTCGTTAAATATAGAAAATATTTTAATTGATAATGTACAGAGATCTTTTTAGGTTTTAAGATAGTTTATCAGTAACTGGAAAATAAGTGTATTACCCAGTTGTTTTAACTTAATTCTAACGGGAAGTTGAGCACCATAAATTTATTCAGTTTGTAAATGAGATGATCATCCGCCGATAATCTTAAATCATGGATTGAATGGTAATTGACCATATTTTTGGATCTGAAGATCTTGTGTTCGATTCTATTTGAGTTCGTCGATTCTCAGCGTCAAGTAAAATAGGACAAAGCAAAGGATGAACTATTTTCTTTTAAATGTTTTTTTAATGAATATGACTGTTGGCAAACATTTGAAATCTTGTAAAGCAACTGACAAGTGTTATCCTATTAGATACAAACCGTTCACTACTCATATTCTTCTCCTTGTATACTTCCTGGATCTTGGAAATGCAACCTTGTTATGCACTGCTATACAGATTGTTCTTCTATTACATAAACTTAACTTGATATATATATATATAATATGAACAGTACAAAGAGCTTGTTAAAATATTTTATCCTGAGAATTCCATATTGTACTAAATACATAGTGCTGATCGAAGCAATTAGCATTATCCCAAAAATAAAGAAAAATGAAAAAGCTACACAACGTTCTATAATTCCTAACAATTCTCTTCAAAAAAACCGACATACAATTAAATTCAGTTGTATATTTTGTTAATCTAACCTTCAAAGACTTTATTTTAGATAATAGTAGGCTAAAATCCACAAAATATAAGTTGAGCTGCAGGTTTATAATCATTAATTACCATAGATATAAAAAAAGAAATGCAACGAAACAAAACTGGCCTCTGATGTAACGTACAGTAACAGTTTTTGGTGTATTGTTGTTTAAAAATTGTTCACAGTCAGTAGTGGTTGTTGATACAAATCGTTTAATTGGAGTAAAATTCTAAGAATGAAAAAAAACATGCTTAAATAAATGTAAAAAAGTCCAACTTAACAAAGAGTTTTTTGAGGTTAAAATAATTAATACAAAAAGAAAAGCTTTATCACAGTAAAATCATGGATGCTACGTGGTTTTTACACACACTACTATGTATAAATGTATTAAAGATGATACAAATCAAATTTTGAAACCAGTGACAAAAATGATTCAACTTGACCATAAAACTAATCTTCATTCATGATAGTTAAAAAACAAAATTAGACGAGTAACCATTCGAATTGCAATGAAATTTAACTAACAACAGTTATTTTCATAAGACCTCACTTTCTTAAAGACACATATCACTGATAGTCGAAGGACGTTACAAATTCGAATTAAGCGCAAACTCTCTCTCTGTCTAGTCTCCATTAGCTAATATCACAACAACATATACATGAATATTGTGATTCTTTGATATTTTGGAGATGAATGATAAGATTTAACCCTTAGAATGTCATAGAATTTGTTTTTATTTACTAATCGACAAATAGTGTCAATTAATTCTGGTAGATTTGGGCTACCAGGAAAATTTTAATTTGTGAATGAAGTCCTGGACATTGAGTATGATGGCAATTCGACGTAGTTATTTGATTTGAACTTTCACAAGATTGATGGGCAGAAACTTGAGTAACCTATGGAGAAGTAGTTCTCTGAATACGGAACCAAATTATAAGAAGTGGTAATACCAACGTATAAATTTGATAATATCGTCAAACAAGCATCTTAGATGTAGGGTTTTTGTCAACTACTTTCAAAGTTGATAATAAAACATATGAAGAAAACTAGTCATGGTACTTTCCATCAGGCAACATTTGCTTAGCATACAACACGACAGCCCCCAAATGCCCTGGTACAGCCGAAAGTGGGGAGAGTCTGCTCTCCCTCTCAAAATGCTCTCATATGGCCACGCGAATATATAGCCTCTGACAGGGAAGTCCTACTCACTGCCTTCTCGTGGCGGGGGTGTTGTTCACAAAAGTGAGAGGATGAAAAGCGAATGTTCGGCGCTTTAACCGGGTTGGTGGATGTGGAGGATCCAACTAGGGGAGTTGGGAAACCCTGATTCCAAACCAATGGTGCACTTGGGCCCCAGGATCCTGAAGGAACAAATGGCGTATGAACCAACTGTTGGTCACCGGTTACCATGGGACTGCATCTCCTTACGATGCTCCACTGCCTTGCTGACTAGACCTTTAGGTCGAAGGCTCCGGGTGTAGCCCCCTAAGAAAACCACCTGCTTCAGTCTGGGCACCTAGCCAGTATCACAGTCCTCACACAAATCAAATGAGATTTGTGTGGCGCATATCTATCTGGTGGTTCCTTGTACCAATATTTATGTGTTTAAATAAATAAAATAATAAATACAACATGACATTTATCGCATATAAAAATTACTGAGATATTTCACTGCATGTGTCAAGTCTTTTTATTTTCTGTGTCCTAATCCTTTCCGATTCCCTTCTGTATATGACATTTCACTAATTGTTAAAATTCAGTAGTCAGCTTCCGCAGTAATACTTTTTGGACAATTAGTATGTCATGTCTGTCTACTTTGGGTAATATTTCCAAATATTTACACAAGTTGATAGCAATCAGTTTATTTATCATTGTAATCGCAATTCAAGCTTTTTAGACGTAGTAGATTAAGTCTGATTGCAATCATTATTTCCTACGACTTCAATATAAAGTGTAATGTTTAAGTAACATAGAATTACATTATTACACTTCCAGCCGATGTTATGAATACTTCTAAACGAATTCATATCACACATAATTACGATCTGTAACAGTTTCCTTACCTCTGCCTTAAGGATTCATTATTCTTCTATTCTTAAAACATTATGTTAAGATATCTGTAATATTCCTCAACAAAAAATATTACGTAAAATATCGTTCTATATCTACACATTATATATTGCAAATAACATACTTGTTCTTTAAGTGGAAGACCTTGCTTAAGCATTGATTCAGTTGGTGACGGACAAGTTATATTTAAAATAGAGGAAGAATTTTCGAGTGAAGTGGAAATTTTCGCAGTTTCTATTGTAGTGTGAACAGGAGTTGATTGTACACGACCAACAGAACCACGTAATAATGATGACAAACCAACACCAGTAGAATGTGATGTATTCGATGCAGGAGTTAAAGATTTGCTATGATTCAAAGGAGAATTAGATATTTGTAAATCTATTTCACATCCTGATTTTGAAGACAGAAAGTCCTTTAAAACTTGTTGTAAACAGGATACAACAGTAGGATCCTGGAAACGATAAAAATGAGAACATATCAACAGAAAATATTCACTATTGAAATGATTGAAGTATGCTAAGGTAGTCGTTCTTAGTTATGACCACAAAACACACAGTATTTGACATTTAACTCACCTAACCTGATCGACTTAAGTCTAATAGGATGTTATATTTGTTGGTTGTTGTTTGAATACTATGAAGAAAGGATTGATGTATTTTGTTACTTTATTTGAATTAAATAAGTTTAATCCTAGTGCAACCATCAATAAAAAAACTGGGGAAATGCCCTTCACATTGTACATACACTACGTAGCTTTTGGTTATCCATTTACGAGAATTTATAGGTGTACATCAACAATTAAATGTTATCGTTTACGTACTTATTTAGCAATTCCAGCTTCACAATAACATGTGGTTGTATTAATAAGCCAGAATACGGATTAACTCTTTGTGTTAAACTAATGTGGCATGACTTTTCTCAAATATTTTATTTCAGATGAAGATAATTCACCCAATAGAATTCCAGTCAAAGACGTTGAATAAACTAATTCTGAAACGTTCGATGAAATTAGTGTATTGGGAATGTATGACAAAGTTTACTGCTTAATTAATATTTCTAAAACCTTGAAACTAAGTCAAAGCAATTCAATAGACTGTAGGACCCAGAAGAGCTGAATACAGTAAAGGATTCAAAGCACTATTATTACACTATACCATAAATTATATAAGATTTTTATGAACAGAAAGACTTTTGATTCTCTTCAGCATATGGAGTAAAATACAACCCTCAGTTTAAACATGTAAAAATATTTCACAAACTCTATCTACTGACTGTAAAACTTAGTAGTTGTTTTAGTCTTGGGACAAAATAAATGGCTTTAATCTACAATGATGAGGAAATTTCTCCCTGAAAAGTCATCATTTCATGGAAAAGTTATTCATTGACTGTACTAAGCCTCCTTGAATCAGAAAAATGACTATACTTATCAATGAGTCGTGCTTAGCTGATAGTATGTATACAAAGACTAATTATAATTTATTGATCATTAGGAATATTTTCATGGACAGTGTAAATTCATTTCTTAAATGTTTAGAAGTCCATTGATTCACTAAATAGTAAGCATATATATCTAGTGTTTTTTTCTGAATACGATGTGAATTATATGACTGTAAATAATAATTATTTGATGTGAAGATTAAACAACGAAGGTAAAAATATACAGTCAACTTACTGACTCATTATTTGATGCGATCCGGCTAGAACGTCGAACGATTGGTTTTTCAACTGTAACATTGCTAGCAGACGTATAATGTAAGGTAATAAGAGGAATTGTACGCGAAGGTTGATTATTTAATTTAGACGTTGTATTAATTGTTTGACAATGACGTAACTGCAAGTCGGTGAAACATAAGACACGACCAATTTGAACTATGTCCATTAAATGAAGAGCCTAAAGGAAGTGAGAAGATTATACTTAGATATTAACTCATCTATGAGGTGTAGAATCATGAATTCTAGCATTTGAAGTAAATGGTATTAGGTTTGAGCGCTGCAGTGAACATCGAATCTGCGATGCACGTTCATCTAGCTGATGAGTACCAAGTAAAACGAAATGCACGTTCTGGATCCCACTACTAGCCACCATACAACATTGCTTATAATATTCAAGACTTTTTTCTGACCACATATTTTTAAAAGTAAAATACCTGAGCTATGTATTGATTGTACTGATGTTTACAAATGAAAATGTCTTGTTTACTAATTTCTTAACAACATGCACAGGATTAACATCTTAAGCAATTATGATTCCTAAAAGAAATGCAGTACTAAATTTTAAGATATTACATTTTCCTGTTCAAATAAATTGAATAAGTGATGAGAAGATAATTGAAAAGGATTTTCTATGGCAAACACAACCAACTGATCATTAGACAACAAATATGCACATTATTAACAGTTGGTCTTTCAGTAAAACCAACCTGTAAACCATCCCAAAATTTGATCACAGATAAACATGTTTCTGATTTACAATTCACATCCACTGCATAAACGCAATCGACATCCGAAGAAGGATATTTAAAAGGAGTATCGATTGTTCTTGGATGGTCCAACTGTTGTTTAACATCAGGTGGATAGCTTTTAGAAGATGGATTCGAATGCATTGGAGTATGATAAATTGCTATAATCAAACAACATAAATCAACCTCACGATTTCCTAAAAAATAATTTAAATGGAAGAAATAACGTAATAAATACCTTATATACAATTTAAATAATATCAAGAATAATTATCTAAAATATAGTCTGGAAAAGAATGAAGAAAGAAGTTGAAATAAGTGAAATAAGCTTACAATATTGAAGCAATTAGTCCTTCTGATAAATTTTGATAGTGTTATAAGAAGAAGGATATTGAAACATAGTTCTGATAATCTTCGTCTTTTAATATTGAATCGAAACAGAGGTAAAGTAGCTACACTCTTAAGTGTATAACTAACATTTACATTTATACTAAACTTTGTAACACAACATATATATATTATCATTGATATCAATACATATAGACAACCACGAATAAAAATTTTATTGAGAAATCGTTAAAATATGAAACTATAAATACTGTAATAAATTATTCATTAAAATAGTCCATTATTTTAAGATCTGTCGGATCATAGAACAAACAAGCGACGAACATGTATCTTCATTATTCAGGCAACGACACTTATAATTTGAAATTATTTCAACAAAGTAAGAATTATACCTTTGTTAAGTGAACTCGTAGAAGATTGGTCCTCTTGAATAAATGCTTGATAGGCTTCAGAAACGCTTAATTTTACTCTTGGATGATATACACGAGAAATATTATCAGTAGAAACGATTCCTTTCAAGTTGGAAATATGACCTAATGATAAAATGCGTGTTGTACGACCACCAGAAAGGCTTAATACAAAACCAGAAGGTATATTGACGCCTATAGGTTTGACGAATCCTGGAAGAGTTGATGGAGATGCAAATGGATCGTTTGCACGTGTAGCCGACACCTAAAAACGTATGATCAATAAAAGTAACTAATGGATAAATAGGTTAAATATTTATACATGGGATTCCTTTTGATCATTAATGTATATTACAGAACCGGAAGAGATACACTATATAAAAGTAGACAGATAAGTGATAAAATATACAGCAGAAACATTTATTAACCTTATTGGTATCATAATAAAATCTACTTAACATCCTGACACTAGAAGGAAACTTAAAAGCTGCATATTTCTTAAATGCATACAGAGCGGTGGCTTAGTACTTAAATCATTTAACATTCAAGAATTATTCAATTCCATCAGTTTCGAGTTAGGCAGCCATGTAGTATCAATAACATTTGTGGGAAAGTTTCAGCTCAACATTAAGTATGTAAACACGTAGTTAGTTAGAGATGAACTATATATATATATATATATATATATATATATATATATATATATATATATGCTAAAATCAGAAAGATAATATCAGGATATCGCCAATGAATTAAAACTTAACTGTTAGGAAGAATTCTCATTCATTATAACAACAGAATATTCAAACCTTAAATTATTAAAATACAAAGGTAGTATGAAATGAATGACTTACTTTATTTCTGGAATAGAATTTTGTCACTTACTTGCAGACGATAAAACTCAACAACCTCCCCCTCTTTCAAAAGTGATAACATTTCATCCGTTGGATTCCATAAAGTAATCGAAGCGCCTACAATTCATTTAAATGGTAATGACATTATATGAGCTTTAACAGCAACGTTAATTGTGTCGATATCTTTAAGAGGAAAAATATATGATGTATCAGTTATTACGCAATTCATTGGGCTAATTAAAATACAATCAGAATGCACAATCGTAATAATCGATACGAATGTGTTTACTCAATTGTTGGAAAGGTCTCAGCCAAAAAGGATATAAATCACCCATGTAGTAGTTCAGTATATTTTAAAGACGACTGGCCATTAAGAAATAAATAACTAAACCTATTTATTATACGAAATCATCCTCCACATCAACGAAACAAATAATCACAAAGTTAATATGAAATAATGTCCAACGTCTGTAAAATCCGAGAGAAAAAAATCGAGTAAAAAGTGTTATATCCTAGTGAAGACGTAAGTACGGGTAACTTCTGAGATCTATTGATGGACTAATGTTATATATATATATATATATATATATATTCCTACCGTATAACTGTTCAGTAACTAGATTATGTATATCTATATTCCTCTTATCATAAGCTTCATTTTGACCTATAAATTATTATTATATGATTATTATACTCAGTTTATTGATTACTATCTCGCACATTTATGGCCACATTTTGGCTTGATCTTGTACAAATGTTATTTTCTATCTTATGGTGTGATGCGGCCTGTCTGTCTGGTATATAAGCTAAGTATGTTTGAAATAAATGATTTGGATAGCAGAATCTGTTATTGGTGTTCGGGACTGAACTGGAAGGGCTAGGCGGATAAAGGACCAATAAGGACGCTAGGTTGCTCATACAGGTCGAACGTCATTGTTTTGGCACAGTGCTAAGATTGGAAAATTCGTATTTCGATTGGTGAATAAAGCACGTGATAAAAACCGGGCATAAAATCACAACAAATTGGCGACGGCCTTTTAAATTCATAACGAAAAGTAGCTATTGTAAACAATTTTCCCAAAAAATGACTGGTAATAATTCACCATGTTCTGCGAACACGTTTTCATTGAAATATTTGCTGCAGAACTGAGAAGTGAATGTTACTTGATATTAGAGGTGATTATATTCTAGTCAAGGTAGAGTGCGGAATATTGGAGTGAGATTACCAAAATTAAGGACAACGTTTTTATAGGGCTGTGAGAGAAATATAAAAAAATCATAGCAAAGTAATTAATTGTACTTTGAAAGTACTGGCAGTAACTAGTTACGCGTTTGCATTTCTCTACGAATGACATTAGACATATAAAGATATGTGTACTGAGTTGTATTAGGCAGTTGGAATTAGTCGACAGGAAATTCTGAACTTAGGTTTCATGCTAGTTGCCACTCATCAGCAATGAATACCTGAAATCTTAGAGAAAATGATACTCATAGTGGGATTTAAAAACCTCCTATGAGTTACGGTTGAGTGATAGAATATATTAAACAGTTGTTTCAAAGAACCAAGAAAATGATGAATGGATTAAAATGATAATTTTATGTTTCACAAATATCCTTAATGGCAGATTCGTAGGGAAATTTTTAAAATTTACTATGAATACACACATGTTTCTCATTGTATCATTATTATTGATGAGAACTGAAACAAGTTTCTTGAGTTTCCTTTCTCCTCTTAATCTTTTAAACAAGGGGACAGGCTAAAGTGAGAGAGTAATCAAGAACAGTCGAAAATTTTGTTACGTAATTTGGTCAGATTTTTGAATTGTTTACCAAAGTATATTATACGTGACAACATAATAATCTGAATCAATAATTATCACATAACAAGAGACACAAAAAATCAATACTAAGACTAATAATTTCTAACTCACTATAACCACCAGCAATATCTCTAGGATGAATTCCTGAAACTCTCAAACGCAAAAGAGGAGTAATCTATTGAAATGGAAAAATAAACGGTCAGTAAACAAAATGGATACTTAGCCAATGAAATTAAGATATCAATCATAAATTTAACAAATAAAAACGACATAAAAACATCCCTTGAAAAAAAACAGAAATAACAGAACATATAAAAAAGGATTATAAAAATTTGTCATCTAACCTGTCTAGGTGGGACATTTTCAACAATTGCATCATGAATGATAGACTCTTTATAATGTTGTATAGCATCACGTTGTACTTGAGTTAAATTAGATTCAGCTTCCATAGAATCTGGGGCATTTAGAATTGCTTGTAACAATGCTTCACCATCATTTCCCAAAGCTATTAATTGTTCATGTGTAGGTTGAATTCGACGTTTACCTAGCCAACGCATAAAAAGCAGGTACAAATGAAGTAATCATTTCATTAATAGACGACTAAACATCATCTAGAATATAATAGTTTTTTAATGTTTATCCAATCAACAAATACATCAGTGAAGTTGTCATACATCACTTTTATGTTTTGAACAAGTAGAATAAATTAGTTAAACTATACATTATACGTTGAAGAATAATCTGTTTAGTAAATACTTGAAATAATTACTTTTAATTAGAACAACAATGCAGCAACCGACTATGGAGTATACTTTTATAGATAGGAGTTACTGACACTGGTTACCTAAATTGAAGTAGTTATAACGAAACTCGAACCCGTAAATCACGAGTTGAAATTCCGATGCTATAGTGTAAGCTGGTGGCTTGGTGGATAACTCATTCGATTGCCAACCATTAGAAAACAGATTCGAATCCCACATAACCTACTTCAGTTTAGGTAGCCGGATAGTTTCATTAGCCTTTACATATAAACTGTGCCTCAGAGCCGAGCACACGAATCTGTACTCGGTGAATTGTATCAGATGCTAACACACTAAACCGAGGCCTCATTATACGGAAATATTGAACACAAAGTAACTAGAATAGAAGCATTTGATTGAAACGTAATGTGACTTCCAAAAAGTAGTCAACTCTTATTTGCTACGTGCAAATGTATATATTATACAATCGAATACACTTGCTAACGTTTTAGGATAAAAATTTCAATACACATATCAATATCGGTTAAACAATTACATTAACACTGTTAGATGCCAGGTCTATAGACCAAAAGTTGGATGTTCATGCGCGAGACCGAAGGCCGTGAGTTCGATTCTCGGATGCACACTATTGAGGAGTCTCATACAAGGACGGAAATGCCGTCCGATGCTTTCGAGTTTTCAATGGAAGTCTAACTAAAATCAGTTCGTGATAATAAAGACTATTAAAATAACTAGAAAATCAAGAAACACTAAGTGGTTGCTTTCTTTTGTTTAGTGATACCACAACCGTGTTGACTTTCACATACTTTTGTGATAGAACAAAGCATTCTTAAGGCTTTAAAACTCTTCTTGCATATTACAATCCAATCACTGAGATCTTTAACCACCTGATTAGTTGATGGCCTTTAGCTGATTTATATTTAGAATTGGATATATTTAAAGCCATTTTAAAATCATATTTGTCTTTTTGTTACATATGTGTGGTAAACATAGAAAAGTTAACGATGTTTAGTTCAACCCTTCAATATTTACTACGTTAGGTCTTTGAAAATGTCATCAATCATATAAGAATTAATAGTTGGTTTCAGTGATCACTCAAGATTTCTAGTGTATCTGACCAGGAAACCAATCGGAAAACAGTTCACATTCTTTTCGTCGAAATAATTATGATTTTCCAGTTTTAGGAAAATAAACCTTAAATAGGAATTTATAATCGAAAACATACTTGGATCGTTAATTACAAGTCTATCTAAGGCTCTGTCAATAACTCTGAGTCTGCGAGCTTCATATAGCCTGACTTCCGCCTCCTCAGCCCGTTCACTGCGAAAAATTCGACGACGATTTAAACGAAGCTTTGAAGATAATTCATCTGGACCAGAATTTGCACGTGTCAAAAGAGTTGATGTATTTGAATTTTGTTCTGGGACCTCTAATGTCTCCATATATTGTAGGGAATATCGACGCTGTTGTAGGGAATGCAAAGAAAAGACACAGTATTTAAACGATCACCAGTATATGCGATGCTATTACTTTTAGTATTAAACGTTAGAAATCATAGTCAAAATTCAATTCTAAGATGTATTAAAGAGGATGAATTTGTTGAACAAGTATCAGATTGTTAAGTGAATGAATAGAATGCTGATTGACAAATGAGCGGAATGATACGACGTGGCTGGGTACCAACTACTTATGATACTGGATTATTGGCTCGAATCCAATTCCCCAATGAAGTGATATCAAAATGATCTCATTAGACAGATGGATAAGTTTTTTTTATCTAATGAATAACACGGTTATGTACTAATTCTTAACAGAAAAATAACCAGGGGGTTCGAGGAAATCAGTCTTGTAGGCAGGCCACTTACTGTTCAATGAATTAAGTCCAGACTGTTAAACAATCCTTGGACATCAGAATGCTAATCAAAACGAGTGTTGCACATTTAAATGAAGTTATGAAAGCAGACAAATGTATACTGAAAATCAAAAAGTATTAGGATTATAAAGATAATAAGTCACTGGAATTGCATTGATGAGATTGATTTTGGGTTACTCCAAATACGATATTTAACAATTTATGCCTCTAATTTCATCAAAATGTCACTTACTAAAAGCATAAAAATCAGTAATCTTTTATTACAATGACTGGTGTGACGCATAGATCAGTGGTTGATGAATGTGCCAATGTATGGTCAACTTATTACATCAGACAATAATTCACCATATTATCAACCCGAATTTCAGAGTCTCTAATCTTCACTGATAGGTTTCAGAGAAACTAATCTGAAATCTATGAAATTGCTGGTCACTAGTTTGGATAATCAGCGTGACCATAGAATAGTTTAAATTCAGAAAAAGGATAAAACGTTGGTATTAGTTTACATTTTTGTTCGTAAATTTGAACAATTTGAAGTAAATACATCACTTTACATTGTTCTATTTTGATCCCACCAATCATTCGATTAACCAGAGCTAATGGTTTCTTTACGCAACAAATATTAGCAAACAAGTAAAAAAACACAACTCAGATTTCAACTTGCATCAAGCTTATCCCATTCTAAGCTGTCTCTGTATAACAAAAGGTAGTTATTAACACTTATCTCATTGTCGGATTTTGACAATTTTTTTATTATGATTTATCTAACTCTATTTGAGTAACGAACTGAGAGTATGACTTGTCAGAATTATTAGTTAAAATATGATAAATTCATATTACTAGTCTTAATAATGCTTGCAGTTTAATCACTACAGGCCGATTCAGTTTTAACGCTAGGCCATATACACACTAACCAGTTGAAAGATGAATCTTTCTATCATTGGTTGAATAAAAAAGAACATTTAACAATCTGGGTCAATTCGAAAATGTTTCAATGAGTAAATATTTGCTTGGAAACTTTATTAAAATTAGAAATAATCATAAACTTTGCCGATTATTTAGACTTGTTTTGTTAGATCCACAAAATACTTTGGTTATTTAAACTAAATCATGTATGAAAAATTAATGAACTATCACAATTGTTTGTTGTCTGACAATAATTTTTTAAAAAATGAAGAAATTACTATTTAGAAGTTGGACATATTCACTAATAAACACCCCCTAGTGTTCGTCCCAAATTTTTAGAGCTCCATTACGAACATACGTATGTATCTCTATAATGTAATCCAGGGAATATGGCCACCTTATTGAACATAAAAATATTGTAATTAGTTGTAAGGAAAAGACATACAATCTAAGCTAATATACAATTTGCAGATGAATAACTTTCCTGAGAACTGAAAATTAGACCAGACGATCTATGTTTGAATAGTATGTTTTACCGTTGAGCAATAAAGTTAAGATATATTCTATGTTATGTTGTTGCCTTTGACAAGGAAATTTATTAATTTCCTAACAAATATGTAATCTACTTCATCAGAAAAACATGAACTACAAGACTCAGAAGAATAAAATACCTAAAAGCATAATTTGTTGGGGTAAATAATCAACCATTTCAACCAATCAACAAATTAATTTATTGAAGTGAAAAGTATTTAAACAGAGAAAAAGACAGGAACATACTTGGATCACTACTCGAATCGAGCTACAGATGCCTCCATCTGAACTGAGAGTACACAGAGGAACAGGATACAGACCAGCACCTGAACTTGGTTGTTTTGTAGTGAATCCCAGGCGTGAACACCAAGAAACGGGTCGTGTAGAATTTCCATGCAACTTCAAAGCCATTCCAACAGCTACACCATCATCTCCATATAAATGCTTAAATTCGTCAATTTGCTCATCACCTGAAGAGCACTTCCCTTTAGGTTTACTGTTAGTAGATGATGGATTGGTTACGATTAACTCAGCACCAGCAGTTACTAACTTCGAACCAACACGAATTTTACCAGAAGTAATCAGTGTTGTAAGCATGGGATCTGGATGCCAAGCAATTTGATACCAGCCATCTGTTAAACAAGCCTTCTTTGAAATAAAAACAATAATATTATTGATAAATAGAAAGCCAAAATGTGAGAACAGGACACAACTTTCAATGAAACATGCGAAGTGCACTGTGAGGTTTCGAAAATCTACGTCAGACATGCGATTGTATAACATACTTGCTTATCATAAGAAATTAGCAATTTTGACCCAAGATGGATGTTATAATGGAAACCAAGAGCACATATGACTCAAGTGTAATTACTCGATCGACTTAGTAAAGTTTCACAACTGAGATTTCCTCGACTTTTTCTTCCAAAGTTTGGCTTTCTACTACTATTAATGTGGAAGTTTTGACTCCTTCCGCCCTTCTTAAATGGATTTTATCCAGCTATGATGATGTGAAACAGTAAATTGGATCGAAACAAGTTTTGTTCATCACTAGGGTTTATAGATTAGTTTTCTGTAGGACTCAACCTTGACGATATCTAAACTACAGTCCGTATACAAGTAAATTCAAACGAAATTAGAGACCGTCGTGTTTCATAGTCCATTTGAGTCCTTGCAAAACGCTTGACTCGAATTGTCTATAGGTAACTATAAGTGAAGACACAGTAAATAAGTCTTTATCGTTCTAACACTTATTGCAGTTTCAGTGTGATTATATTACAGTGACGCTTTGAAGATAATCTTCAGCCAATAAGAAGAGAGTATGCATGAATAAGAAGTATGTCGTCACAGAGGTAATGAAACTCGAAAGAGTATAGTGGTTTCAGGAAGCTTACAAGTTTCGCAAGTCTTATTATCAGCTTTCCGGTGTTAGTATTGAAAAAATGTCGCTACATAATTTCGTTTATCCCAGTGGAAATATATTAGCACTTAAGATTTCTCAGAATCATAAACATTCCTATAGAAAATTCATTACCACCGGAAAATCTTCATTAACAAATTTGTTGAACAGTAAGCGAGATGGAGTAAGGATATGGGGATGTCATGAATGGAAATGGTTATCTCTTTTCTATTTCATCAAATCGCTTATCATTCAGTGAACCACTAATAAAGCGGTTTATTTGAAATGTTATTAAGAACAAAGTAATCTGAAACCAAGTCATTAATTTACACTTTATGTACAATCTATATGGGAAGAAATAGACAAATGCTGTGCAAGAATTTTTCGAAATATTCCTTTGTTGATATTCTTGACTGAATTTTCAACAGTCTTAGCTAGTGTATGTGTATCCTGTGCGGACTGTTTCGATATAGCCATTTAGTCACACGTTATATGAAAGAGATTGATTGTAATTTACAGTGGAATCCAGGACGCGCGTTTTGTTTTATCTGGAATTCTATAGCTGGATTTACCTGCATCCTAGATTTGATGTCACTCCGGGATTCGAACCCAATACCCTTCGTTTCAAATGCCAATAGGTTATCCGCTTAGGTAATGAGTCCAGATAGCCATTCAGTTGTGCAACATGTGTGCATTTGATTTAATTTGCAAGGGTTTTTGAGTAATCCTATTGAGGATCATGTGTCGGCATTCGAAGCGAAAGGTACTGGGCTCGAGCAGTGGAGTGACATATCAACTCAGGCTCAAGCAAATGCATGCCCGTATAAGGGCATGATCGGAGTTCAAACAGGTATTGCAGAACGAGAGACAGTCTTCTATCGAGCCTTTTCAACGACGACTGACAGTAATATGGTTTATTTGAGTCCATCGTTGGTTTGGTGCGGGTGGTCGCCATGTTAGACGATATCTCTCCTTATGTTTAAAATTAGTGTTTGTTAAAAATAAACGAACGTCTGAGCATAGTTGCAACAGACGATCACCATTATCTGTTGGCTGAGCCGGAATACTAAAATACCCACCTAAATGTCTTTCTGTTTGGTTTAAGCTACCTACTTGGGCATTAGTCACCTGCTACGAGTACTATGTCTGAGCGTTTAGCTTTTTGAAGAAGTTCAGAAAATTTTCTGTAAAAGTCATATTTCACTTCATCCAGGCTGCAATCAGTGGGAGCGTAGGCAGAAGTTAGCGACATGGTATGCTTTAAGTGATTCATTCGGTAGGTAAAACTGGAGAGAACTAAATCAAACTAACAACCATTAACCCTGACATTTAATAGCAATCAAAATGATAAGATGATAACAGCTACTGAAGTTAAGTAGAAAAACTCTAACCTTTACACATTGGTCAAAAATATCTATGCGACTGACGCACAAGATTAGGCGCCGCGCCGGTGTATCGTCTTGTTCGATAACTTTCCGAAGGGCTGGTCTATGGGAAATGCATAAAGAATACAAGTGTAGTTAGATAACAGTATGAAAATCATGTACGGATTAATGAGCAGTTAACTGAAGCACACTATAAGCTAAGAGATATTCGTGTTATAGTAAGGCTATAACATTCAAGTAGATTGACAATACACAATCACTGAGCCGGCATCCAACAGTGTTAATGTCTAACTTCAACCAATCCACGATGTTGAGCGACCATTTTCCATTGTTTTCGGTTGGTAAATACCTCACATCTGACACGGCTGAACTCCACTGGTCACAGCTTTCTCGTGGATACTGCTGATGAGCCCTATACCAGGACGAAACGGCCGTCCAGTGCATCCAGGTTTGGTTTAACACTGATCGGCTCATGATTTCAGCGAAACTCAACAATCTCCACAGCCCAAAACGGAAAAAACAGTTTCAGTGGAACGTGCAGTTAAATTAAATTTCCTTAAATATTCAGAGTTTCCTTAAATTATTTTATTAATAAAACATCACTTTATGCAGATATAAATCAGGTATAAAGTGTTTCTGAACAGAAATTACCTTTGACAGGTTTCTATTTCACGATCATAACGATAGTGTAATTCATTCAGAACATGTATCGGTGCACAATAGTCACAAAGTAACGTTGTGCATAAATCACTGTAAAGTAAAGCTATTGTACCAATTTTCCACATTATTTGTAAGTAATGATTTTCAATCCAACCACGGGTAATTAAATTTGGACAAATTTTACTACAGCTTAAAAATGAACTGAAAATAGAGGAAAAATGAAGTATTTGAATTTACGAAACACTTTCATTGGCTATGTTCGGACATACCAGGATGTGGATTACATCAACTGTATTAAAGTGAGCAATGTCACTACTCAATTGAGTAAATCCAAAGTATACAACATAAAGGCATTTACAACAATTAACATCTAGCTGATAATCTAATGTTTACATACATTACTCACAGGAAAAGATCTTAATTATATCTTATTGTGAGTCAACATCATTTGTGTAAGGATGCCGGATGCACAAAATGAAGCAAGTGATTTTCTTCAGAGATCTCACCGACATTTTGACACAAAATAAAGTGAAACTGTGAAAAGAGACGCAATCTCACAGTAGACGTAATATGAAGTATATCTGAATGCGATGGGCAACTCTCGCTGCGGGTACTTAAATTCATATAACTGAGTGATTTGAAGTGTTATCCAACTTGTCTCAAAATAGAAGCAGGTGATCTTGCTATAGGTTTCCCATCCATTCTTTGTAGAAGTAAAATCAACATTCTTAACAGAACGAAATATCACTTGAATTTTTTTCCTAATTGAACAGTACCTTCTAATTAGTACTATTTCTCTTTATTTATCGGTTGATTGTATGAACTTCCTTTCGTATGTTTTCTTCTCACAATATTAATATTCCAATTCGTGTGGTGCATTATTTTGTACCAGGAATTATATTTGTTATAATTAAGTAAATAAATGAATCTTGAACATATTTATATACATTCAATAAAATGAATAAATGAAAATAACTTCAGGAGTATTTCTTCTGTATATATTTGTAACTTAAGGTTTTGGGAGGATTGATCCTGGTGTAAGTTAAGATACTTCAACAGCTAATTAATGCAACGTTTCATTATTTTTTAGAAATTCATGAACAGAAAACCGTACATAGAGATGTAGTTTATTGGCAAGAATACAAACTCAATAACAGAGCAGGAAATTCTGTGAAGAAGAACATGTTACATAAACGCTCCATCAAGATATTGTTTACCGAAAAATGCAACAAAAGTGAATTTCTGATTTTATAAAACGAAAGTATGAAAATAAATCAACATACTATTATACTTTTTGTAAAATATTCTACTTTTCCGATATCAAATATATGAAACAATTTAACCCAGTAATCAAACACAGTTTTATGTGCTAAGATGTGAGTAACACTGATTACTAAACCATTAATGATACTATCAAAATACATAGTCTTTTTTGTCATCGTTGTGACCATATTGACATTCGTCTTATTAATTACATCTATCTAGATTGATGTGAGGTTGCAAATTAGACCATAGTACATTTACACCAGATCTCACATTGATCATTATTAAGTAATTGATTGACGAGTTCAAATCAAAGACTTATTGGATGAAAAACTGAAGTGTCTAAGGCGACTTGACGTATGAGTGATACGACAAAATAAAGGACATCTGAATACAAAAAGACGAAGTAGAATTACATGATTTGGTTGGGGTCCTTATAATTTACTGAACATGCAAACGAAATTTTTTTTAAAACACCAACGTTTAGTCATACATGACTAACTAACCTTAATTATACAACCATCTGACATCAGGAAGCACTAGACAGCTGTTTTGACCTGGTATGAGATTCCCTGGTAATATGCATCCACGACTGTGACAGGGAATGAACGCATAACATTCAGATATCGAGATGACCGTTTACCATTAGACCGTTGAGATGGCACTCAGTTTTCGCACTTCTAAATTCAGCCGATTCGCGATACCGCAAAACCATCATAGACTATCATTCGTGATATTTGTCTCGTACCCCATAGGACTGAGCTCAAATGGTCACTGCTTCTCATTAGAACTCTGTACTAGAACAAAACAGATGTTCAATATTTCCTGGTTTCAGATGCTTGTCTAACAAGAGTCAGTCCACAATTTGAAATTGCAGATTCAATGATCTAAACAACCCTCTAAACTAAAAACCCAGTTTGTTGATAAATACCATCATTTTGAATGATGATTTATTTCTCATAACACATGAAATAGTTGGCGTGGTTGTGTAGTTTAGTTTGACTGAAACTGTTCAAACAACCCTTAGTATTAATACTAAATTCACATGATAATCCTGATAAGTGGAATAAAATAGAAAATTGATTACAGATCTGGAAACAGTAACCCAGAAGCGATCCTTTATTTATTTTATTATTTATTATTTAAACACATAAATATTGGTACAAGGAAGCACCGGATAAATATGCGCCTCACAAATTTCATTCGATTTGTGTGAGGGCTGAGATACTGCCCAGGTGCCCAAACCGAAGCAGGTGGTTTTCTTAGCCGGCCACACCCCGAGCCTTTGACCTAAAGGTCTGATCCACAAGGCAGTGGAGCATCGTGAGGAGATGCAGTCCCATGGTAGCCGGTGATCAACGGTTGATTCGTACGCCATTTGTTCCCTCAGGATACTGGAGCCCATGTGGACAATTGGTTTGGAATCAGGGTTTTCCAACTCCCCTAGGTGAACTTTCCATGTCCACCAACCCGGTTAAAGCGCCGGACATTCGCTTTTCGTCCTCTCACTTTCGTAAACAACAGTAATGCCACGAGAAGGCAGTGAGTAGGACTTCCCTGGCAGAGGCTATATATTCGCTGGCCATATGAGAGCATTTCGAGATGGAGAGGTGACTCTCCCCACTCTCGGCCGTACCAGGGCATTTGGGGGCTGAAGCGATCCTATATCTATTTAGCTATGAGCTGATACGTCAGATATATGTATAACCGGTAAGCTTTAAGTTATTTATGTCACATAATTATCAACCTTCAAATAAAATCATTATTAAAAAAGCAGGTGGTTCAAAGTGGAATAAAAAGATGCAATCGTCACTTATATGATTTCAATTTAATGAAAGAACAGTTACACCCACAATTTACTAACAAACTAAACCTACTTCTATTAAACACTGACACATGGGTTAGTTACACATATTTTGTAATTCGGAACTTTTTCAATGGATATTGAAAATAAGTTTGAGTGCCAATATGACACTTACTTGATAATTTCTTGTTTTCCAACACATCCAAACTTATCAGGAATCAAAATAAAATAATGGAATTTGTAAGAAATAGGAAGATTGCTTTCACTTTTTGTATCCATAATATACTTCATATCCAGCAACCAGTAAAGTTTATCTGCAGTCTGTAAAGACCATTTATTATAAGTATCATTTAAAAGCTTCAAATATTTCGGTAAGTGAAGTGGCGTAGAAGAAACAGATAACTTTTGATTATTAGCATTGTCAGCAAGTAATAATTTCCATTTTAAAAGTGACTGGTTTTTTGTAGAATTTAATATCTCAGTCCCATAATATCTTTTACGTATATTCCACAATAGTCCATATAATGTAGCATTCAATGAAGTATCAGATGTAGAGAGCACATGTTGATTGGGTGATTGAATTGATTCATTATGTGCAATCAGATTTTGTTGGTCAGCCCGTGCTTTTTCACGTTCCACTTCTAATCTAATTGCAATGAAATAAATATTCACTTGGTAAAAATATCTGACTATCAAAAATATTAAAATGCGAAACCCTATATACACAAAAAAACAGGAAAATTTTTTTCGGCAACATCTAGCTATATAGTAGCATTTAAGTGTGAATTTGTAGTTAACAGATTAGATTAATTAAATAGAAAAGGTAAGTTATACGTGTTAACGATGAAGTAGAAAACTAATTTAAACCATTGAACAAATAATATAAACGTTTCTGATTGGTATATGATCTCAATCAAATGTATCTCTAAAGTCAAATAATTAACTTATTGTATTAAATGATTTATTGAAGTTGAAACGGGGCTATTAAAACCGACATTTGATAGGAATATCAAGCAACTTGCTCAGAAGACATATTTCTTAAGAGACCGGTCGATTGCAGTCTTTAATATCAAAAAACAGGAAAACTCAAACATATATACATATATATATATACACGACTATTTGAGGGTACTATTAACATGTTAAATGCTAGTGAAACAGTTTTTATTTAAACACCTCTAATTTAAATAACCACAATACATTTAGACTATTGAGTTGGGACTTAGTACAAACGATATCAACTTCAGTCAGTTCATAATAAAAATGCATTCGTCATTTAATATTATCAGGGAGTTATTGACTTTATATCAACTTGGTTAACCAAACAGGTCACATTTTCTCCAGCTGGTTTCCGTTCGTGATAAAAATTAAGCCTAAAATGTGCGTAAACTTTGTAGTTTACTCAGCAGAGATAATCTGTAAGACATAAGGCTGACTTATCTTTCATACAGAAACAATATTTGTTGTGCTAAAATTTGAGAAAAAGTTTAAAATCGATTAACGATAAAAAAGCTATTCTCCCAAAAATATCTCTTGAATTATTATTAAACCAATTTTTGTAGTAAATTATTTTAAATTATTCTTTGACGTGAACTTATGGAGAATTTGGTTATTATGAACGATATGATCACCAAAATAACACTAAGAGAAACCCGTTACAAGACACGAAAGTATTATTTATTCTTCCCATGATGAGATACACCTCGAAATGTTACCTTAAAAAGAAAATAAACGTTTGCACGCAAGGAATGTAAGTTAACTAAAAGAAAACATAGAATATTTAATGTAGAAAAGTTAAAACGACCAAACGAAATAACAAACTCGAATAAAGTTTAGACAAGATAGTTATATGAGTCAAAGTTGTGTATATTCCATTGAAATTTAGCATTGGTTTCCATGATACAACAATTATATTATAAAGCTTAAGCAAAGAGTTCAACCAAACAGGTGACACTGACTTACGATACATTAATTTCCATCATGTGAGTATCACCTTCAGAACGTTCTAATGATAAGTCAAATTGAGTATCAAAACATCCTCTAAATGAGTCAATATAATTATAAGAAGCTTCCCAGAAATCATCATGCACTTCGCCAATTTGTTTCTCGCCACTGTACGCACACAATGATAAATTGTCTTTAAGATTATGGGGATTGCAATCATAAGATTGACAGCACTTTTCAATTTTTACGAAATCATAACCAGAAACGTAAGGGTCTGCAAGTGTTTCGGCAAACTTCCGAGAGGATACATCTTTCAAAGTCACAGAATCTCCTCTACCTGTCTTGAAACCAGTGAAACGTGGATCGTGATTATCGTGACTCTTCTCCACATCCACATCATCATCACAAACGTTCGACGAGTCCACAAGTGTTTTGGCAAACTTCCGAGAGGATACATCTTTCAAAGTCACAGAATCTCCTCTACCTGTCTTGAAACCAGTGAAACGTGAATCGTGATTATCGTGACTCTTCTCCACATCCACATCATCATCACAAACGTTCGACGAGTCCACAAGTGTTTTGGCAAACTTCCGAGAGGATACATCTTTCAAAGTCACAGAATCTCCTCTACCTGTCTTGAAACCAGTGAAACGTGAATCGTGGTTATCGTGACTCTTCTCCACATCCACATCATCATCACAAACGTTCGACGAGTCCACAAGTGTTTTGGCAAACTTCCGAGAGGATACATCTTTCAAAGTCACAGAATCTCCTCTACCTGTCTTGAAACCAGTGAAACGTGAATCGTGATTATCGTGACTCTTCTCCACATCCACATCATCATCACAAACGTTCGACGAGTCCACAAGTGTTTTGGCAAACTTCCGAGAGGATACATCTTTCAAAGTCACAGAATCTCCTCTACCTGTCTTGAAACCAGTGAAACGTGAATCGTGATTATCGTGACTCTTCTCCACATCCACATCATCATCACAAACGTTCGACGAGTCCACAAGTGTTTTGGCAAACTTCCGAGAGGATACATCTTTCAAAGTCACAGAATCTCCTCTACCTGTCTTGAAACCAGTGAAACGTGAATCGTGATTAACGTGACTCTTCTCCACATCCACATCATCATCACAAACGTTCGACGAGTCCACAAGTGTTTTGGCAAACTTCCGAGAGGATACATCTTTCAAAGTCACAGAATCTCCTCTACCTGTCTTGAAACCAGTGAAACGTGAATCGTGATTATCGTGACTCTTCTCCACATCCACATCATCATCACAGACGTTCGACGAGTCCACAAGTGTTTTGGCAAACTTCCGAGAGGATACATCTTTCAAAGTCACAGAATCTCCTCTACCTGTCTTGAAACCAGTGAAACGTGAATCGTGGTTATCGTGACTCTTCTCCACATCCACATCATCATCACAAACGTTCGACGAGTCCACAAGTGTTTTGGCAAACTTCCGAGAGGATACATCTTTCAAAGTCACAGAATCTCCTCTACCTGTCTTGAAACCAGTGAAACGTGAATCGTGGTTATCGTGACTCTTCTCCACATCCACATCATCATCACAAACGTTCGACGAGTCCACAAGTGTTTTGGCAAACTTCCGAGAGGATACATCTTTCAAAGTCACAGAATCTCCTCTACCTGTCTTGAAACCAGTGAAACGTGAATCGTGATTATCGTGACTCTTCTCCACATCCACATCATCATCACAAACGTTCGACGAGTCCACAAGTGTTTTGGCAAACTTCCGAGAGGATACATCTTTCAAAGTCACAGAATCTCCTCTACCTGTCTTGAAACCAGTGAAACGTGAATCGTGATTATCGTGACTCTTCTCCACATCCACATCATCATCACAAACGTTCGACGAGTCCACAAGTGTTTTGGCAAACTTCCGAGAGGATACATCTTTCAAAGTCACAGAATCTCCTCTACCTGTCTTGAAACCAGTGAAACGTGAATCGTGATTATCGTGACTCTTCTCCACATCCACATCATCATCACAGACGTTCGACGAGTCCACAAGTGTTTTGGCAAACTTCCGAGAGGATACATCTTTCAAAGTCACAGAATCTCCTCTACCTGTCTTGAAACCAGTGAAACGTGAATCGTGATTATCGTGACTCTTCTCCACATCCACATCATCATCACAAACGTTCGACGAGTCCACAAGTGTTTTGGCAAACTTCCGAGAGGATACATCTTTCAAAGTCACAGAATCTCCTCTACCTGTCTTGAAACCAGTGAAACGTGAATCGTGATTATCGTGACTCTTCTCCACATCCACATCATCATCACAAACGTTCGACGAGTCCACAAGTGTTTTGGCAAACTTCCGAGAGGATACATCTTTCAAAGTCACAGAATCTCCTCTACCTGTCTTGAAACCAGTGAAACGTGAATCGTGATTATCGTGACTCTTCTCCACATCCACATCATCATCACAAACGTTCGACGAGTCCACAAGTGTTTTGGCAAACTTCCGAGAGGATACATCTTTCAAAGTCACAGAATCTCCTCTACCTGTCTTGATACCTGTGAAATGTGAATCTATACTAAAGTCAACACTTTTACAACTAGCGATTTCGGAAACATTCATAATTTGAGTTAGATCAAAACCAGTAAAACTATCATCTAAGTCTTGACTAGGAGAATCTACTGGTTTGTTCACAGACGTAGAAGCCATAATATATACTGCATCGTAATCTGTTTTCATTTCGTCTTCTGAAGGATAGACAAAGTTAATTAACTTCGGGTATACTGATAACTCCTGTAGTCTAGAAGATTCATTGACATCAGGGCTGATGCACGGACTCTGAAATATAGGAGTGACTGGATAGGATGACTTACATAGGGTTCATCACCTGCAAGGCCCACATAGCAATCATCTCCCATATTGAACAAGGGTCTGATTAAGGAGGCACCTAGACTGTATAGTAAAGAATGAATAATTTGCATTACTTTTTGCCTCATATTCATCTATGATATCCTCAAAGTTAATGCTTTCAGCATTATTACACACATCTGATATAAATCCAGTCACGGAGGATAAGAAATCCATCAATGATTTATTTACGTCTACTTCTTGAATGAACCTGGGAAAGCAACCGAAAACGTAAAATTAACAAACTTCATTTCGAAATCCATTTCCTAAAAACTTTATGCAATAAACGTAGCTAGTTTACATAAAAATAAATGCATGAACAGTGCACAATTATTTTTTAAAATAATGAAAACCGAAAAATTCCAACACAAGTGTTATTAAAGATAAACAGGTACGCAAGCAAACCACTGAAGACATTAATAATCAAAGATGCAACCTACTCGCGTCCTTAACTTTCATATTTCATGTATGAATTTTCTTGGATGAGGTTATAAAGCTATATATCATTCTTTTTCTTTTTCATTAGATCTGAATTTAGTGGGGGTGTATACAAACGACAAATAGGTAGTGAGGGTATCCTGCGGTTCCCGAGTTTTTACCGTGACAGTTGATCAGACAGCATATAAACGATTATCAATAGCTACCCAGTTAAAGAATAGCTCCCTGCTTCCTAGGAAATGCCACAAAAAAAGGCTATCGAATCTTCGAAAACATGAGAAGTGATTCGAGATGGTTTTTCACATTGGTTAAGTGATCCTAGACGAATGGTCAAAATGTGGATCATTTATGTGGGTTTTAGACGCATAACACACATCAGTATACAAAAATGAACAATATTTGAGCGAACAATTGTTTTCAATAATTTCATCATCCGGTTCTACAGTTATAAGTCCATAATTATTATGATATTTTACAAAGGCCAAAATGAGGCATGTATTAATTAATTTGACAATGTTATATGTTAAAAATGGTGAACGTTTGCATCTGTTACAACATATATACTTCAAAATTGTATTATTTGTAAATTGGAAAGGTCATTTAATATAAGATTTAATATAAGATCTTGAGATTTTCGCTAGAAGAAACTTGCCCTATAAGAAAAGTTGGATGATGGCTAGCAGTGGAATCCAGAACGCGTGTCTCGTCCTACCTGGAACTTGTCAGATGGATGTGCCTGTATCTCCTGAATCCCCATTACTCGAACCCAGTACCGTTCGCTTCAAACGCCATCGCCTCATCCACTTAGCTACTGAACTTAGATAGCCACTAGCTTGTGAAATTAGGTGGGGTTTTAATTCATTTTTAAATCGTTTGTCTGAATCTCACCACTGATGTTTAGGGCTGCAATATGAGACTGACTAATTACAGTTCTAAACATCAATGGTTAGGATCCAAGCAATGAATTAAAATTGTTGTCTGTTGTGATGTTGAAAATTGTAACAGGGATTTCAAAATCCGATTCCAGAAAACCAGGGTTAACATTTCGCATGACCGGACAATTAACGCCCGTTATACTTGAAAGAAATGGAATTACAGAAAGACTGATGATAAGAATAAAAGTAATACTGTGTGCAATTAGAAGAGTGTGGATGATTGACATTCACATGTTTGGTACATTGTGGAAGGTAGTTTCTTCTGAAGGTACATTGAAAAGAAATTAATAATGATGACTACCTTGCTGACCTAGGAGTGTTACTATAAAATTCAAAAGACAACAGTATGGAACCGGTAATATATGGTAATTTTCTTTCGTTAGCTCCCGACTTTCCAAACCTTACCGCTGGTACTGGGAATTCTTAGGGCAAGGCAAAGTGAGTTGTTTTTAGGGACGAACCTTTATAAATCTTTTTTGTGTGGAAAAGTAACATCACTTGAAATTCCAGTTATCCGTGGAAAAAGCCATTCTGCTGACGCATCCAAGTACAGTCTACAGTAGAACCTCGTCTCTGGGTGCTAAAAAGGCTGAACGGCCACGTATCTGTCTGAGTCTTACTAGACGTATGAAAGACACTGCAGGGAAGCCTCTAAGGGTTCTACTTAATGATAAGCAAGCTAAGAATATATTTCAGGAACAACTGGAAAAACAGTTAGACAGACATGTAAGTTGTGGCCACCCAGAAGCAGTGTGGAATGACATCCGTAAAGCTGTGGAAACAGCAGTGATATCCACTAGTAAGGTAAGCCATAAGGTTAGGGAGAAACAATGGATCTCGGCAGCATCTACCACACTGATAGATGATCGAAAACTCATCCCACCTGGCTCTGAACATAACAAAGAGCGGAGTCAGCTTAAACGCAGGCTAATAAGAAGCCTACTCAATGATCACGAACAGTGGTGGGTAGCGAGAGCAAGAGAGATAGAAAAGGCAGCGGCAATAGGTAACAGCAGACAGTTATTCAGACTTGTTAAAGAAACCGGTATTAGGAACCCAACTATCTCAGATAACGATGGACATATCATTCATTCTTAATCCAGGAGATTGGATCGATGGGCAGAACACTTTAGGGACTGGCCTTTAGCCACACCTCAGTTACCCACGATCCCCAGTCGTCCTGAATGGCAAATTGTCCTCCAACTCTCTACGAGGTTAAAAAAAGCTATAGGAAATCGGAAGCGAGGGAGAGCAGCAGGTCCTGGTAGGTTTACTCCTGAGATTTTTAGGGATGGTGGTCCAGTACTAGCAGCGAGATTGACTGAGGTCTTAGGTAGAATCTGGGAACTGGACATAATTCCATCTGACTGATCCCAATCACTGATTGTCCCAGTCTATAAGAAAGGACAAAAGTCCTCCTGTGACAATCACAGAGGAATCAGTTTGACTAATATAGTGTCTAAAATATTAGCTTCAATAATACTTAGGCGCCTAACCAAAGCTCGTGAAGAGCAGACTAGAGTAAACCAGGCTGGTTTTCGACCTGGACGTGGTTGCATAGACCAGATATTCACTCTTCGTCAGGTCCTAGAACATAGACACATTCAGACGTCCCACAATAGTAGTATTCCTCGACCTTAAGGCGGCATTTGACTCCGTTGATCGTGAAGTTCTATGGCAGTGTTTGTCACTGAAAGGAGTACCAAAGAAGTACATTAACCTCATAAAGGCTCTCTACTCGAACACAACTGGTCGAGTTAGAGCCTATGGTGAACTGTCGTCAGAATTGGTTACCTCAAGTGGTGTTCGTCAGGGCTGTTTACTCTCCCCATTCTTGTTTGACTTTGTCGTTGTCATGCTTCTAGAGATTACACTTTCATTATTTCAATCTCCAAGAGTTGAACTTTTACCGGATGGCTCACTTGTTGACTTAGAATACACCGACGACATAGTTCTATTTGGTGAAGACGCTGACAAAATGCAGTCTTCTGACCACTATAAGCAACAAAGCAGGCATGTTCTGGATGCGATTCTCTCCCTCGAAGTGTAAAATGTGACTTCAGGATTGGGTTGCATCGGCACTGAACTGATGATAGGGAGTGAAGTAGTTGAGCATGTTGACAGCTCCACTTATCTTGGGAGTCTCATCAGCCCTTGTGGTCTGGTGTGTGACAAAATCTCAGCACGGATACAGAAGGCTCGGCTAGCTTTCGCCAACTTGCGTCATTTATGGCGTAGGTGGGTATACATCTACCAACCAATGGACGGGTTTACTGTGCAGCAGTTCGTTCCGTCCTACTTTATGCTAGTGAAACATGGCCGATAAGAGTAGAGGACATTCGTAGGCTACTAGTATTCGATCATAGGTGTCTTCGAAGCATTGCTCTTATATCCTGGGACCACCGAGTGAGTAATGCAGTTGTTAGGAAACGGGTACTAGGTAAGGATGGCAAATCGATTGATGAAGTAGTGAAACTTCATCAGTTGAGATGGCTGAGACAGGTGTTACGTATGCCCAACCACCGACTGCCCCGAAGTGCAATGTTTCATGGTGTAGGAGTAGGTTGGAAGAAAGCTAGGGGCGGCCAGACCAAAACGTGGCACAAATCCATGAAGTCATTGACAATTGGACTGAGCCATGTTGGTAGGTGTAAACTACCTGGTTGGGATTCGCAAGATGATAGCAATCGATGGTTAGAGACCTTGAATGACATGGCTCAAAATAGTTTACAATGGCGCAGGTGTATCCACTCTTTGTGCTCTGCCAAATTCTAATCTTCTAAATTTTCATGTATCTTTCTTTTTTCTCCTTCTAAATTTATTTCACTGGATTATACTGCTTGGATAACATCTTCAAACCCTTATCTTTCACATAATGTTTATACTCTTACTACTTCTACCACTATGGGATTTGAATCGACAACTGCATCTCTGTGCTAATGTGATATGGCAACTCGAACTGATGTACGTACGTACGAAGTTCGATGTTGTGACTGACTGACTAATTGAATTGACTTGGCTGACATGGCACAACTCCAAAGAATATGTTCCAGACAACATAACTCAGTTGCGTAACTGCGATAGGCATTTCCGACTGCCATATTAAGAGAGCAGTTTTGGTCTAGGATATGTGAACAGTACTACAGAGCGCACAAACTGTGATAATAATTACGGAAACATACCAACCTTAGTCTGAAACTATCACCGTGGAACCATACTTTCATTCATTTATTTATTCTCAGTTTTTCTGTCTATTGACCTCAAATTGCTGCTCGATTGAGGGAGACAAGTGTATTCGGGTCTTCTACATATATAGAACGGGTCTGGCAGGGAAGTCCTACTCACTGCCTTCTCGTGGCATTACTGTTGTTTACGAAATTGAGAGGACGAAAAGTGAATGTCCGACACTTTAAGCGGGTTGGTGGACACGGAAAGTCCACCTAGGGGAGTTGGAAAACCCTGATTCCAAACCAATCGTGCACATGGGCTCCAATATCCTGAGGGAACGAATGGTGTATAAACCAATTGTTGGTCACCGGCTACCGTGGGAATGCATCGCCTCACGATGCTCCACCGCCTTGTGGATCAGATCTTTAAGTTAAAGGCTCCGGGTGTGGTCCCTTAAGAAAACCATTTGCTTCGGCGTGGGCACCTGGGCAATATTACAGCCCTCACACAAATCAAATGAGACTTGTGTGGTGCATATATATCTGGTGCCCCTTTGTACCAATATTTATGTGTTTAAATAAAACAAATGTTTCTTATGCAAAAAACCAATATAAAGTATCACTAAACAGTCTTGCAAATGCCTATGGTGTAATGAACCGTTGTATTCAATCATGACACAAAACCAAAGGTACACTTCGTTAGGAACCTAGAAGTACCCCTGT